CTTCCAAAGGTTCTTTTTAATTTTGCTTTTAGAATAAATTGTTAGACTTTGTTTTCAAATAAATTTTTATGAAAAATATTCTCATAGCTATTATCTCTGATCCTGAAAAAAAAAAATTGTGAAACAAAAAAATAACATTTATGACTCAAGAATTTTAAAATAATTTCCAAATCTCCACCATTTAACCCTAATGCCATCACATTGATATCATAATAGACCATTCTCATAAACAAAACACAATAAAAATATTACATTACAAACCAAGAAATAATTAAAAAAATTTAAATAATACAAATATCCGATAATCCGCGCGCAGCGCGGACGGACCACTAGATATGCCATTTAAATACAATCTTGCAATAAAGTTCTTATTTTATAATAAATGTTCCATATTGCGGAATGGAATTTCATTCGTTTAGGCTAATTTGATTATGTCTGTGGCTTTTATCTAATACATGACTTGATTATTACAGATTTCATTGCAGCAGGAAGCGGACTCAACATTTTGGATTATTTGCTTCATGATTTCATTGATTTGTTTTAGAAAAATTTACTTATTTAGTGATTTAATTAAGTTTTATAAGTTTATAAATCAGTTATTTCCAATAATATATCAAACACAATCATTCAAGAATTCAGAGATATGCAATACTCAATGATAGGCTAAACATTGATTTCAGTACTATACAAGACCAAAGTATATTACTAACCGTGTTATTCTCATGTTGTTTGGCATATGTATGTTGTTCTTTGCAACCCACATACATCACCTAAGCATCAGTTTATCATTTCTCCACTGTTCTCCCTCTTTGTCTTGACTTTTTCTGAAATTTGTTCATGTATATCTCCATAGATTTTTGTCCCATTATCTGAGAAAAATCACTATTAAATTAAGAGCTATGTCTACAAGCAACTAGATCATGCAATAAAAATACCTTTCTATGTTGATTCTGACTATATCTAAGAGTATATGTTTGTTCTCTGTTTGTCTTCTCCATGCTTGATGTTGCCCTTGAAAACAGATCATGTATCAGAGACCGAAGTTTGTTAACCATCTGAGTAATGGTTTTGGTGAATTCTCTATGGACTTACTTTTTGCTTTTGTACAAAATCGCATCATGTATTGATATATGATCGTAAAGAAGCAAGCTCTAGATTTAATCCGCCAAATAACAGAGATTCGTTTTTGCTTCTCTGATTTCAAGTATAGTTATTCCAATATAGCGTCGATCTACATGATTAGATCTGATATATCAATCTCTCAATAACCAAATAAAACCCTAAACTCATATAAAAATACAAATTGATTGACTTCTTTATAACCAAACAAACTCCAAACCTTTGTATTTTTCTGTTTTGACTGAAGATTTTCAAAAAGTGCTTCAGTTTACTTGTGAGAAACTATCTTTTGGTCTCTATGTTTGATGCGGTGAGAAAAAGATACAGTTTGACTATTTGCTCTGTTTGTGGTGAAAAAAATATTGTCGCCTTTTTGTTATAACAAAAGGGTTGTTTGTTTCCCAGAAAAAAATAACTGAAACCCAATGGACTGACTCACTAATTTAATGATTATCAAGATCCAAATTCGTGCTAACTTTTAGTATTTTCTCGGCAATCACATATAGTTCTTTTATATTTTATCTTTGTATGATTGTTAATAATCTCAGAAGAAAACTTAATAGAAATTCTCTAGTTAAAATTTTTATAGGTAATTTTAATACATTATGTAACATCACTAAAATTTACATATTATATATATATATATATATATATTTCATAATGTTAATTTATGATTTCTCTAATTTAAAAGATAACAATAAAATTTCATATTTTATAAATAATTGATACTATATAACTATATAATTGATCAAACACATCCAATAAAAATAGTATTATACACATTAGTGATTGTGATTATAGAAAAGTGAAACATTTGCCCATTTTATTTTTACTTACTTCTTGCACTGAAACAAACTCCTAAATCGGAAAAAATAAAGATTTGTCAAAATCAGAGGCAAAAAACAAGTAAATTAAACATGTTTATGGCTCCCAATATTTTCACAGACACCCTTGTTTACACAATAGTACTAACGAAATATCTATTTCATATATTAGTAAACTAGGGTAATACAATATCGTTCAATTAATTTCTGATTTTGAATTGTTTATATATATTGTAAAAACAAAAATTCGCCCAGTTGGACGGATTAAGATCTAGTATTCTATTAAAACAGAAGTACAAAATATAACTTATCAAATTTTAAGTGTACTATTATAATATTTATTTTATTTTGTCAATCATCCTAAGTACTTCAGTAATTATCTTTACCATAATAATTATGTAACTTATTAATCTTATTTTCAAATGTTATATTACAGATTTTGTCATTAAGATATTAATTACTCTTATATTTCAGCATTAATTATTTTTTGTCACTTAAAACAAACATAAAACTTATCTAATTCTCTATTCTAACTAATTAATATTTCGACTACTCATAACAATTTTATAATTTTATTCAAACTAATTAATATAAGTAATTTGTTATTTTAATTAATTTAAACTATTAAAAGAGAAGTAAAAATAACAAATACTCTTTAATTTTCCTCAGAAATTACAACATTATGCCACTGAAATTAAAACATTGTAGTTTTTCTCTTTTTTAAAAACAAATCCTACCTTTAGTAATTTATGGGTTTGGTCCATTAAATATAGTTAAAGCCTAATTCATATATATTCTGATGAAAATAAAGTTTGTACATAGTAGTTAAGGTTTGGCCCGTTTTAATTATAAGTTTATAACCAAATAGTGGGAGTTATATTTATATAGAGTTTGTTGATTTTTAAAATTGATGGATTTGTTAAATTTGGAAAGAGTTGTAGAGATTTTTGTATATTTTGAAATTATGTGAAAGTAAACTGATATAATGATTCTAAGAATCTAAAGTATATATGCAGTATTCTCAAAAATTTGTGTTATGAGTTAAATGGTAAAGAATATAATTCCCAATAACACTAACTTTCATAAATTTAAATAATCATTAAAATTTAAAATTTTTGAATAACAAGGGATTGTGTATAGAGTTACTAAATCATTGAATCTAAAAAATCTATAAACCAATAACACTAGATTCTAAAATTCTGCGAATCTCACTAACACCTCTGAAACTAATAACTTCAATTAAATATTGTTTTAATTTTAAATGTGTTTTAAACTTGGTTTCATTATTATTATTATTATTTGTTTTTCTAAATAATATATTTTTATTTAAAAATCTCAATAACAATTTTGAATCTTATATAGAAAAGCTCTGACATTTTACAGTTTACTTTATCAAATAAACTAAATAAAGCACAATAAAAGAAAAAAACATAATCTCATAGTTTATAATTGAACACTAATCACATTGAACAAGACACACCAATGTCAATCATGGATAACATATTAATCTATAACATAAAAGACATAAATAATTAAAATTTATCGCATTTTTCAAAAGTTTAACACATATGATTATGAAAAACAAACATCCACGTGGATCAAAAGCTAGTTGAAATTATATTGAATGACAATATACATTTTCTTTGGAAGAAAATCTAATATGTTTACATGTCTAAGATATAGATAACCAACTCACCACATAATCTCAAATATATAATTTGTAAATACTCATAATAGAAATATATATCTTTACATAGTAATATAGGTACTTATTGTATACTCCATGATTCACTTTTTAATAATTTTTAAATTTAAATATCCATTATTTATAAATATAATATAATTAATTTAAATAACAATATAATTCCTGAAAACCTTATAATTATAATAATGCATTTGTCGGTTGTTCTCCTCAAATTTACTAAATTAATGGGTTAACCTATTTTATTTTTATAATTATAAAATAAATATTTTTCTAAGCTATAAAATATAAATTAATCTATCAATATATTATTTTATACATATTTTCATAAGAATAATAGCTCAATACAAATCCAAATCATGAATATATGATAAGAAATATGGATAGTGTAGTTGACAGTTCAAATAATTAAACTATTAAATTGTTGTATTTAAAATGATATATTAAACAATTATTTAATACAGTGAACATTAAAAATATATACCACTATTTATATAAAGTAAATATTAACTTAGAAAAAAAAACAAAAAACATGCATGAACGTGCGGATCAAGTTCTAGTTAGATTATTAGATCATGAAAATTGAAACAATAATTATGGAAAAATGACATGGTCCTTTTAAATTCAAGATTAGCCTCTTTCAAACGATAAATTTAACCAGCTCACGTTTGTTATATAGTTTTTGAAGTATTATGTAAACCTAGAGATATATGTTTGTTGGCAAAAAGGAAAGTAAAGATGTATATATGTTTTCACATGTGTCCCGTGTAAAAATGAGATGCTAGTAATAGTATCCGCATGTATATGAACGATGAAGAGACTAACCATTCAAATTTTGAAGGAGACGAGAGAGAGAGACAGAGTGGTCACAATTGGAGAAAGAAGAGGTCGTTACGTTGGATTTTACGTTGCCTCCATGCACTCCCCTTCTCCTCTTTATCTTGTGGTCCTCTCCCTCTCTCCTCTCATTATTATTTTGTCATTGATCTAGCACTATCCCTAACATAAGTTAAATGTTTTATATGGTCAATCACGAACATAAATTAATGGTTTAGGTAGACAGATTATTCCTTTTATTATTGTCGACCACGATGTTAAGTTTCTTTGTTTTCGTATGAGTTCCGGACAAGAAAGCCACTAGAGAGGATATATCGATATATGTAATTTATTTGCGTTATAGAGAGTGTACATTGCACCCGATATGTCAAAAGGGCTCCTTATTAGTTACATGGGTCGATNTAAATTAATGGTTTAGGTAGACAGATTATTCCTTTTATTATTGTCGACCACGATGTTAAGTTTCTTTGTTTTCGTATGAGTTCCGGACAAGAAAGCCACTAGAGAGGATATATCGATATATGTAATTTATTTGCGTTATAGAGAGTGTACATTGCACCCGATATGTCAAAAGGGCTCCTTATTAGTTACATGGGTCGATCAAGGAAGATACCGAATTAAGCTCTCAACACACAACAAGGGCCATAACAAAAACAACCCTTGAAAAAAAAGATACAATCATCGAAAGACATGTCGTCGAATTTGTTTGGTTCAGCTTATATCTGGTGCTTGTCTGATTCAGGCACAGGACGCAGCTGGAGGAACCTGGGAGACACCGTGACGGTGGAGTTCCGTTATAACGCCGTCAACAGTCGGTGGCTTCAAACCTAACGGAAGTGGCAGCCATGGCCTCGTCAATACATCTCCTATGGCTGCATCTACGCTTTCTTTTGACTATATATACACATAAACATGACTAAAAATTAGCCAATATGAAAAAGCCAATATCGACAACAATCAATATCCATTATTTACTAGAATCCTAGTTACCGGATGTAAGTCCACCGGAGAACGAGGACCACCAAAGCCATGATCTGGTTTGTAATTGTGCACCATGTGATGCGGCGGCAGAGCCTGTGGGATTCCAGCAACCGGCGGTGCTCTAAACCTCTACATAGTCAGCAATAAAGATACGACTTAAACATACATATAAGAGCAAAACGGTGAATATAAGAAAGCCTTAGATATGTTGGGTTCATTACCGTTGCTACGGTCGGCAAATACGTAGTCGTCCCGTTATGAATCTACATCCGATAAAAAAAAAAATCAATGAGTTTTAATTACATGAAATTCCGCATAAAAATAGATAAAGTCTTTTTAGTTTAAAATAAAAGAAAACATGTTATAGCATATTATGATATGTATCTATATAAAAAGGGTAAATGCGAGAACTCACTCTAGGCCAGTAGGAGGTATCCGAAAGCCAAAACGGTGGAGTAGCCATGGCAGTGGACGGTGGAGGCAAGTGTTTGGGCCACACGTGCGGCATGACAGACGGGTCAACCGTGGGATGTCCCCACACATGCAACGGTCTAAAATGATGGTGGTTGACAGGTGGCGACGCCACAGCCGCTGGCGGCGGAGTCGGAAACCCGATAGTAGGTGCTGGTGCGAGCCATCCGTTTTTATTCCGACCATTGGCATTAGCTCCGGTGCTGTCTAAACCGTAGATATGGCGTTTGCGCGTCCAATTAGCCGCTTCGGCCTCACGAGCTAGCAAATGTTTCCGATGAGACCTATACTTCTGGTATACATATAATATAGGAATAAAGGTTAGTTAATTTGGTTGGTTATAAAATGAAATAAAAGAAAATGAAAGTGTATATAAATATAATACTTGGAGGTGGCTAGCGACGTTGTGACGAGTGAGGCAGTGGACACCCATAAGCTCCAAAATACGAGAAGGAACAGCTTTCTCCAGTCCCAACTGTTCCACTGCCTCCACGAATCTCCTGTGTAGCTCTGGTGTCCAATCCACCTTCTTCACACACATCCCAACAATATCAATATATAATTCCGTTTAAATAATAATGTTAAAGTTAACGAATATGATTTTCATTGGTAAGTGGCGTTAGGAACATGATTATTTTTGGTCAATATATATTGATTCTTCCACTAGAAATAATAATATAAGGATTCACGGGATGTCCTAACACAGTTTTCCGGAACATGACTAAAACAAAATTGCAGAAGATTTGGCATGATATCATAATTCTGAATGAATAACAAATCCCCATTAAAAAAAAAATCGAATCTATTTGGACGGTGAGTATAACTAGGGTTTATATAAATAATAATCACAAGTGATTAATAAGTGTTCGTACCTTCACCTTTCGCTTCCCTTCGTTGCTACTGATCCGATTGTTCTTGGTAGAGCCAGATGAGGAGTGTTTCCTTTTACGGTCATAGTTCACCACCGTCTCCGCCACAAGAGTCTCGTTAAGGTCTCTTTTGCTGATGACTTCTTCACCTTTTCCTGAAATACCCTTTTTATTAGTCTCTCCTTGACTACCTGTTGACGTCGTAGTTATGGTCGACGAAGTGTTCATGTGATCGGATAATTCTCCAGCTAAGACCTCAGGGTCCATCTCCAAGTCAGGAAGCACATCTCCGGCCACGCTGAACAGATCATCGAAGTCGATTATGTCAAGAAGATCACCGTGGTCAGTGAACTCCGGGAAGTCCTCTTCGGTGTTGATCGTGAATCCACATGACGTTGCAAGAAACTCTGACTCTCCATCATCTCTTGTGGAGTTCCTCGCCGGAGAGAGAGCTGACATCGATCTATACTTCACTTCTTTCAGGTTCTACTTAAATAGTTGGAGAGATAAAAAGAGAGAGGGATAAGGCTCTTTGCTCTCCCAATGCCAAATATAAGTTTGATTAAATCAAACAATCACCAAATGAGAAAAGATAACGGTCTTTTATTTATATTATATGCTATATTTATAAAGAGAAAGAAACTTCTTAAATATATATTCCTAATTCTAGAATTCTTAGTCAATATTGTATATTTATATACCATTTTTAATAGTATGTTTTTATAATATATTTGGAATTTTGTATTGTGTAAATATTGTATGCATATACACCTTTAATTTAGTTATATACTAGGATAAGACCCGCGCCTTGCGCGGAATGAAACTATTATTTTTATTATGTTTTTAAAAATAAAATAATAGTTCGGTTTCATTCGGATTAGAGGTGTTCAATCCGGATATCGGGTTTCGGTTCGGCTCGATTTTTTGGTATTTCGATCATTAAAATATAACTACTATTCTAAATCTATATGTACTTCAGTTTGATTTGGTTTATATACCATCGGTTTTCAGTTTATTCAATTTTATACCAAAAAACATAATTATTTAGTTTGAGAACATATTATATATTATACAAATATATAATATGATCATATTTAGAGTCATGTTGTCACAGAGTCATTTCTTAAAAAAATATTATATATTTAAATAAAAGAATAAAAAACAGAAAAGACTTCTATCATCTAATAAAATGATCAAATCTAGAATTAATATCAAAACACTAAATTTTGAAAATAAAAATAAAAAACAAAACAGAAGCATGAAAGAAAAGTTTTTATATTCTTCCATAATTAGTGTTCATCAAACCAATATGTCTTCGATTGAACACAACTCTGTTTGTTTAAAGATAAAAAAAGTTGTAAAGAATTTCAACAAATTGTTGTCCATCAAATTTATAATCTTTACTTCAATTTAGTTACTGTTAAAAAAACAAAAGATCAAAATAAGAAGTCTTAGTTGTAATAAATTGTTAGCTATTTACAAATTATAATTATAGTTCAACTCATGTAACAAATAGATATTCATGCGTCGTTATAAATATATACATATTTACATGTTTCAGTTTAATCGATTATAAATCAAACCATATCCAAATCCTATGATTTTTATAAAATCACATCCATTCGGTTTGTATGGTATATACCAAAAGTAACCATATTATCGATTGTTAATATCTTTTAAAAAAAAGAACTAAGATATTTAAATCATTGATAACAAAAAATTTCAATGTGAAAAATTTAATAAGTTTATAATTTATAAATTTTCTTGAAAATTTATTGAAAATTTTGAAATTAAAATATTTATGTAATCTTATATGGTATATAGTTTAATTTGTATATATATATATATATTTGTTTTATTATTGAATGATACTTTTTACTTATATGGTTTTAAAATCATGTATATCTTTTTATAATAAAATGTTAAATTATTGATCATTAATTTTTAACATAATAATTTTAATAGTTTAGTTCTTTATTCTCGTTTCTTAAAATTCAAAATATAACCTATACGAAAAAATATAAAGTTTAATTTTATAGCTAATTTGATTGTTTAATTTATATTAATAATATAAAATTAAAGAAAAAAAATCGAGGATATATAAACTGTTATCAAATATTTATTATTAGAATCATTAAGTGTCATATATATATATATTAGTCATTTATGGTAATTGCGTAGGTTTTATTTATGGAAATAAAATAAAATAGTAATTATATCTTAGGGAACAATCATTAAGTGTCATATATATATATTAGTCATTTATGGTAATTCCGTAGGTTTTTTTTATGGAAAGAAAATAGCATATCATATCATTATATCATATAGTTTGACTAACTAATGTATCTAGCAACCTATAAAAATCCAATGTGGACTTACTTATTTTTCAATTGAATCTAATTGAGTACCTAATTGAATGACACCTATGCATTGGGGCCTCTTTTAATTAATACAAAATTGAGGTTACATTTTTTCAAATGTTTCTCAATTAATATATAGGGGATTGTGTTTTGTACTGTATAAACATTATAGGGAAAATTACCAAATATGCATATATACTGTCCTTTATACATTGCTAGATATGGGACTGTGCGTTGCACGGGTTTTATTTGATGTTTTAATATTTATAAAATATAAAAATAATAATTCATTTTATAGTTTTATGATTTTTTTTTGCATATGTTGTGTGAGATTTATTTTAGAAATAAAGAATTCATTTTCCATAAAAGTTTTGATTAGTATTTATATTTTAATAAGCACAAATTTTATTTGATGTTTTAATATTACAAAGGACATAAAATAACAAATTATTTTATATTTTAGGATTATTTTTGTATATGTTGTGTGAGATTTATTTCAAAATTTAGAATTTGTTTAACCACATAAATATTGGTAAATATTTGTATTTTAATAACCATGGCACATAAGTGAATTGTTTTTGACTTTGTACCTAAGGGTAAAGAAAATATTCATACCTAAACATTTAAATCAAATCCAGTTCAAATTAAGAATTATAGTGAAATAAAAACAAATGAAAGTTAAATAAGATCAATCAATTCAGTGACAATATCATATAATTGTCACTTCTTAATTTGTAATGATAAATCTTAAAATAAATAAATAAAGAAATTATTTTATTATATATTGTAATAAGGTTGAAGAAGCCCATCTTAGAGGTAATTAAGAAATTCTTTTAATTTCATTTTAAATATATGATATCTAATATCATATATATCATTTGGATTTTTTATATAATTTTATAAACTTAGTTTCATCCCTTAAATATTAAACTCTACACACTAAATCCTAAATTCAGATGTTATGGGGCTTTTTATGTAGTTTTAAAAATGGTATTCAAATTGTAGTATTTCAAACAATTTCTTTAGTTTTTTCTAGTTTTTGAATTTGTAATTTTTCCTATGTGTACTTAATTTATAATTATTTTCAAATTACTTGTTTCTCAGTTTTTACTAAGAATTAGGCCATTTTATTATATTTGTCTATTAGTAAATAATTTACTAAATTCATTTTAATGATATATTTTCATAACAACAGTTTAATTAAATTGATTAGAAATACTATATAGTAAAACACAGATGTAATAAGATGACGATGAAACATGATTTTTTTTTGAGTCAACACATAAAAATTATTTACGTTGATAATAATAATAATCTATTTTTTATGACTAAACAAAAAAATATACCAAACATGTGTTTGTTTTTGTATGACCAAACACATACAAATATGAATATAAAGACCAATCACGACAAAATCTTATTTTGATTTTTTAGTTAATTAAATTGTTTTAATATCATTTTTATCATCAAAAATTTTATGTTTCAAATTACTATTAAATCATTTTTAAAAATTTATTTTTTCTTATGATTTTGAAAAAGAAAACATTATATATTATAAAATATTTTATTTATAACTTTTTAAAAATATACTATCAAATACTATTTTACATTTTTGTTTAAGATTTTAGAACATAAAGATTACTATCATACAATCATTTACATTTATCTTCTATTTAGAATTACCAAAAATTAGATTACTATCAGATAATTATTTCAATACTATTAAATATTTTATTAACTACTATTTTACAATTCGTATCACTAATATCTTTACATATAGGGGTTTTGATTAAATAATTATAAGTAAATGGTACATAAAAGTAACAAATGGCATTGATATTAACTTAACTTTAACAACATAAGTAATTTAAAATTCCAAAAAAATAGCATAACTAATTTTATAGCATCTATAAAACAAACACTCAAAAGCATTATAGGCACATTAACTTACATACAATATCAAAACATCTATACAACATACAAACACCTAAGTATAACTATGGCAATAACTAATGTACAACATCATCACACATATAACAACTATAAAAATCATCACCAGTTAAGTATAAAAGAACTTAAAAACATTTCAAATAAATATTCTACAAATATTTCAAATAAATATACTACAAATATAATTTCTTTAGGATATGAAAAAANTATCAAAACATCTATACAACATACAAACACCTAAGTATAACTATGGCAATAACTAATGTACAACATCATCACACATATAACAACTATAAAAATCATCACCAGTTAAGTATAAAAGAACTTAAAAACATTTCAAATAAATATTCTACAAATATTTCAAATAAATATACTACAAATATAATTTCTTTAGGATATGAAAAAACGGAACGTTCGCACGAACCACGACCTCTTCTACCAAGATTTAGGTCTACTCCTATGGCAACAGTATCAGGAACTATTAATGCATGTAGGACTGGGAGTACTAATAGTACTCCATATCCAGAATCAACTCCTTTGAAGACTTCGTCATCTATTAAAAACAGGTCGGTGTTAGGTGATCTGCATACGCCCATCTCGATAGACTCTGATTCATCAGGTATGATTGTTGTAGTATAATGATTTCGTTATAATAGCTACTATCCTTATTTATCTTTACAAATCTTTTTAAAAGTATTTTCCCACCCAAAATAAAACTCAGACATCAACACGGCTATTTTTGGACATTTGAATTTTTATTCCAGAAAGTGGTGATGATATTTTCGATTCGAACATCCATGAAGGCGTGAATGTTGCTCCAAATATGCCTATGTCGATAGAATCTGATTCCTCAGGTAGCATGTTAAACCTTATATATTAATTGTCATTTTAATTTTTATACGAAAGCATAAAAGCAAAAAAAAATATTTATGTTGCAAGATACAATTTTCCCAGCACTATTCTGCACTGACTGAGATGAGACCCATAATTTGACTTACTTTTATTGTCTCACAGAAAGTGCTGATGATATTTGGGATTGCTCCAGCAATGAAGGTGAAGTTAATCAGTCTGACTCAGAAGAGGAGGTAGATGATCGAACTGAAGCATTGAGACGTTATGAATACACAACACTGGTGTATGACAAATTAGCAAAGATATTTGGTGGTTTACAAAACAAAGGTCCTAAACCACAACCCATGCCGTCTGTTAGGAATACAAAAGAAGAAGGTCAATTTACTCATATATTAAATAATCTATAAACATATATTAT